TAATAATAATAATAATAATAATAATAATAATAATAACAACGACGACGATGATGGAGCTTTAAAAAGGCCCAGCTAGATTGCAGAACATTTCCTAACAGAAATTAAGGCCAGTCCACACTTCGATATCACGGGGTAAAATCACATGTTTGAAACAGGAGACGCAAGCCTGATGAAACCCAATGGGAGCAAACAAAATAAAACCGGAATATCGGTGGAATAAAGCAGGAAAGAAGCACTTCCGTTTTGTAGTACTGAGCGGCAGGAAATCTGACCTTTTAAACCTGAAGAAGCCTTCCCCAATCAGTAGCTTCCAGATACGTCCAGATGACAATACCCAGAATTCCAAGTCTCTGATGACTAAGCTTCATCACCAGGACTAGAAACTTAATCAATCAATCAGTTGCACTGACGAGCAGGAGGCACTGTGTGACTGGCTTCCTCCTTAGCGGGACTCCCCAGATGGGGGTACCAGATGTTACTCAATAGGGTTCAAAGCCTCTATTAGGAATTAGAGAATGACCTCTGGTTACCAAGTCTGAGGAGTCCCAATTAGGACCAAACAGGGTCTCCTGGTGATAAAAGTGGAGACATCTTCCCTGGTCTCGGAGGGGTGCATGGAAGTCACATCAAACCCCCCACACGAGGGCACGACGTAGTCCAACATCTGTATCGCTCTTCTCTGAGAGCTTCAGGCAAGGTGGCCTGGATTCTGATAGCATGAATACATCAGTGCATCATTCAAATCAGTGTTTTTCAAACTTGGCAACTTTAAGAGGTGTGGACTTCAACTCCCAGAATTCCCCAGCCTTACCGTCGGGGGGCATCAGCACTTTCCCGTTCTGAGTGCACCAGCCCACGGGGTGGAGGTCGGCGGTCATCACATCGCACCAGAAGTCAGCCCGGCGGTCTTCTTCATAGCCACAGTAGCGCAGCAGCAGCAGCTGGCCACACGTGGTGATGGTGGTCGCCACCCAGTACGTGTCCGCGCTGTGCTTGTTGGCCACCTCGAGCTTCATACCGGGCTGCAAACTGCTCTGAAGGCTGATTTCCACCTTGAGAAATGAGATAAAGTGGTCATGTTGTTCCGGGGGGCAAGGAAGGGGTGGGTAGTTTCAGCGATCCGTGGTCCGGGTTTAAGTGGATTTAATCAACGAGGCTCGTTGCAGAGCGATCTATATGGTTTTTTCCTTTCCTCTTTAAAATGTTTTAAGTGTCTTAATTTATTTTTCTCCATGCCTAAAAGACTAGTCCTTCAACATTGGGAAGATAAATGTACAGCCCTAATTACTCAGCGGATTGAAGACGCTACTTGCGACTTACAAACAAGTTGCTTACAGATGTAGCTTATGCCAGGACGATTAAAATAAAATAGTCATCCTTTATTGAAACTACACACACACACGGGAAGCCCTTATGTGTGCAATTTCTGTTGTTGCTTTTTTTCCCTTTTCTGCTTTTTCTTTCGCTCCTGTTTCCCACTCTTCCTCATAAAGACAAAATAATTAGCTCATTTTAGTCACTACTGTGCCCATTTTACGGCACGACCACCGCGGCATCGTCTTCGTCTGTGGCGACGTTCCCCTATAATCAGTAATAAAAAATACTTTGACAAAGCTTCTCTACGAACCAGATGGAGCGTCAAGCCCGTGAAAACCAAAGCTGCACTCAATTTGTTAGTCTTCAAAGATACCTCACGCGTCTTCATTTTCTTTATATTAATGTCTGGTTTATAATTAAAATATGTTGCTGTATTTGATTACAGATGCTGGGGTTTTAGCCCCACCACGATCAATTCCCTGTGACGCCAGCTACTTGCAGTTCAATGGAGAATCCCCAAGAACTAAACAATTCCAGTCTATCCCTTTCAGCTATAGCAGGATTTCTCAACCTTGATCACTTTCAGATGGGTGGACTTCAACTCACAGAATTCCCCAGCCAGCCATGCTGGCTGGGGAATTC